TATATATATACCCTTCATTACATATATTTGATTTATTTACAAATGATAATTTTGAACTATTGGGAGTTGCTAAGAGTACGGCTCTGGAGCATTCTGACTCTGCCACTTACTATTTGGACGCTCTTAGACAAATGATCTAACTTTTTCTGGGCCTTGACTTCCTCATCTGTGAAATGTGGATAATAATAGTGATTACTTCCTAGAGTTGTTGTGAGGATTGAATCATATAATCTATATAAACACTAGCAACAATACCTGGCACACGGTATATGCTTAATAACTCTGAGCGGTTATATAGTATTTGATACTTCTTCTTAAATGTATTGTGTACATTATAAAACACATATAAACATAAAATTAAAGGGATATACGGTGTGTGTGTGTGTGTGTGTGTGTGTATGCATATATATAAAAAGAGAGAGAGAGAAAGCAAGCAAGCTAATACTCTCTTCTCATTACGCAGTGGATCGTCTTGTCCACCTGGTTCAAGATCCCTCATGGGAACATTGCTTTAATAAGGTCAAAGTCATGGCTTTTATCCTTTGTGGCTCCTTAGGTGATCTGTTCTACAGACACCAACTTTAAATCTAGTCTCAACAATCTGAACACATGGTAATATTGAGTGAGAGTAAATGGGACAGATCACCTGAGTCAATCAACTGTTCTTGGTAAAAACAATGTACAGACACTCCAATAACCAAGAGGAAGTTAGTAAGCTCTGAGCACTATGGGAAGGACCTGAGATTTGGGATCCTGCCCTCACCTGAGATTCATCCCAGCCGGTGAGGTAGATATTATAGCTGAGGAAGTCGGCATTGTTTCTTTCCTGCATCTGGGTCTCCAGCAGCTGCAGCAAGTCTGCAAACCATTCAAAGGCATGTGTGTCCCGACATAGCCAGTAGAAGTAGATCTGAAAGAGGGATGGATCATGAAGCAGATTATATTAAATAAGACCCATTAGCATTGACATAGATAGAGATTTCTTCCCTCCCCTCAATTTTTCCCTGCTGCTCAGAAGGTCTAGAAAGAGGTTTTTAGAAACCTCTGGACATTTGATGAGCCAGTTCTCATGAGTCTGTTCTTGCCTTCATACTGGCAGGGTAGTAAATAAATAGCTTGGCCTCAGAAATACATAGTTTAAAAAAACATTAGCCTACCACTTTCTTTCTGGGTCTGCTCTTGCCCTCCCAGAATCCCTGGCTTCCTTTGTACCTCTTCTCAGAAAGGCCACCAGAATCTAGACTAGCAGTGGCTACCACAGGATTACTTCCCTGTCCACCACTGCTAGACATTCCTTAGTTACTAGGGGGGAAAAAAGTAGTTCTTGCCATACCTCCTCCATATAGAAAAGAGAAAAAGGAGAGAATGAAAAGTCAAAGTCAGCTCAGTGTCCCTATTAGAGGTTATCGCTACAGTTATTAGAATGTCTCAAATTTTACTAAAGATGTCCTTCATCAGACAATGAAACAAAATTTACATGGGAAACCTCCCCCAATCTCACCGGGAATTTATTCTGAGGATATATCCTTAAGAAAGTAACAGTTCCAAGAAAGTACATGTTACCTGCCTTCCTCCTCCAACAAAAGTATTGGTGAGGAGCTAGAAATAAAATCAATCTTGATATCTAACCTAGGATGATAGAAAAATTATTCTATACTCTCTCAATAGAACATGAAGGAATCATTAAACCTGATCGTTATAAAGTCTGTAACAACACTGAAAAACACTACGTTTTTAGAAAAACAGGACATGAATATGTACCTACTCAATATTTATAACTTTCTAAAAATGAGTAAACATGAGAAAATATTGAAAGAGAATATACAAAAAAGGATAGCTATTGGATTGGGGTTGTGAATACTTTCTATCTTAACTTTGTTTTGAATCTCTTACAATATTCTATACTATATAGTAATATACAAATACAGTATATTACTTTTATTAATGGGCCTGTTTATATAGAAGCACATTTAACTTATCAAATAGCCCTTTTAAGAGAAGCTTGCCTCTCTGGACCTGCCTAAACCTGGCTTTCCTTTCCTTGGTCTCTGCCAGCCTCAACCACAAAGGCTCTCTCAGGCTTCACTTGGCAGAGTGTAATAGCTGCTCCAAGCCCTCTGAAAAATGAAGGAACCTACCTTTTTGAGCCTCAGATTGGTGGCATTATTGCAATATTTGTACCAGACTGACTTGAGAATGGATGCGAAGGGCGTGACCCCAATCCCTGCTCCCACTAACATCACCACCTCATAACTGAACACATCTTCACTGGCTGTGCCAAAGGGTCCGTCAACCGCTATCCTGGAGGGAAACATGGGAGATGGTTACAGAGATATCTTGCTCTTCAAAGTAGGATGGGGCACACATTATTACTGGGGGTGTGCAATATGTCACTTCAAACCAGGACAAGGTATCTATGGGGCACTTTCTTCTATGAAATAGCTTTCAGGTAACCAACTTAGTGTCAACATTGGGGTTAGAAGTACAAAGAGGAATTTTTAGTTAACTGAAAATATTTCTTAACTCTCAAGGGTATTGTATTCATCTCCCCTTCTCCTTCCCCCCCCCCCCCACACACATACACCTGCATTTCTTGCCAGGGCATCCCACACTTGAAATTTCTGCTTACATTGCACTTTGAAGTAAAGTGAGAGATTTCTACATCAAAACATCTTGTAGATTGACTATCTTGACTTTTCATTTGTCTATTCATTGAGTTATTCAATAAATTTTTCTTCGGCATCCACTAAGTGCCTGACACCATGTTAAGCATGTAAGAAGGAGGCCAAGTGAACAGTATATGACGTTTATACTCAAATAACATATACCAATTAAATTTTAAGAATATATTTGATACACTATAATTTTGTTTGTTAGGAAAGTTAATATACCTTGGCCATGATCCTTATATAGTAAAAGGAATTTGGGAATATTTGTTATTAATATCTGATTCAAATATTTTTTATTTCACATAAGATTTATAAATATATGTACACACTACACACATAAAATGGGGGAACACAGAGATAGCTACATAAATTTGTAGAACCTATGTGTTTTGTCAGACTCAGAAGACAGTGAGAGATGGAAGAAAAGGAGCTATTTAGTGACATTTTTCCTGAACTCATACATCTTTGTAATATGTCCTTTGTACTTACTTAGGTAGTTTCCAGGCATCTTGAAACTCCTGCTTATCACAGCCACAAGCATTGAACAGTCCCTCTGTCCAGTCCCCAACAATGCGGATATGGATACTAAAGAAATCTTCCTCAGGGGCAGAGGTCAGTGTAAAAGGGTGCCACTCCAGTCTGGATACTTTGGGACACTTGACAAAAATGTACTGTCCCACCTCCATCTTGAATCCCTTCTTCTTCATCTGTAGCTCGATTGTTTTGAAGGGGTGAGTGACCACCTATGGAACAAAACATGTCTCTGGAAACTACACTTATACTTTCCCCCCAAACTTGTCTTTTTACTGTTCATGTGGATAAAAAGCTGTGCTAAGATGCTCCACCCATGTCCTTTCTTCAAGACCAACACAGTGGTTTCACCAGCAGATGTGTCTCTCACTAGGAATTACCCTAGGCTGTAGCCCATGGCCGATAATGAGCTAATGCAAGGATACAAAGGTCTGGCTCCTCTCCTCAATTTGGGACAACTCCAAGGGGCCACCCTAACTCCAGTACTCCCTGCAGGGTCATCTGAGGCTACAGTTGCATTGAGGGTCAGCTTTTTCCTCTCCCCAGCCTTCCTTTCCTTTTCTTTGACAGGTTCTGAGAAAATGCCCCCACTAAACCTTCTGCATGCAGTTCTCTGTCTCAGAGTCTTTGCCAGGGAATCCAACCTAAGACACCAGCCTACTGTCATACTTTTTTTCTCTAAAAAGTTAAAGCAGGTGCTAGAAACAGGAAGAAGTTGGTTTCCTGCTCAATCTTCCTGTCTCCTCAGGGGATGATCAAGAGCATTAGCAGCTGAACAGAAGAAGGAGACCCCACTGGATAATTATACAGCAACATTTCCCAAACCAAGGCTAACTGTGCTGATCTGCCTTTGTCCTGTGTCATGCCTCGAACCTGTCTGATTCCATGCATTGCTTCTACATTTCTCCCTATTTGGGGAATACACCACCCATCTCTCCCAAAGCCAGGCCCTACCCACACATTGCCATCCATCCATGTACATGGATGTTGATAACATCTTTGTTTATAATAACAGAAAATTAGAAACAGTACAAATGTCCATTAACTGGTGAGTTGGTAACTAATTTTAAAAAATAGAACACAATAAAAAGCTGTTATTTCAATACGGAAAGTAATATACTATTTCTTGGACAATGCCCGAGACACCTAGGACTTCATATGTACAACTAAAACCAAAGGGATATAAAAGGAAATAAAATTCAACAGAAAAAAATAATAATAGCAGTTTCCTAATGTTGACTGATATTGCTTAAATTTTCACCAGTGAGGAGGAGTAGAATGGGAAGTTCTTTTAAGGAAAATTGCCAAATATTTCCAAAACTTGTAATTTAAATATATTTTATATGATAAAGCTGTAACCAGCTTCCCTTCATCATTGAAATAAGAAATTGTGAAGCTTCATTTTGAAAACAAAATAAAAATTTATCAAAATTATTTTGAAAATTATATTTTCCATACTTTGTATTTTGCCAAACTATGTTGCAATTTTGCATGGCAAAACTAATTTTTACCATATTGCAATCTTGCTACCATAGGCAAAAATTGGGATTGAATTTAATAACATGTACAATGGAACAGCATTATCACTGGAATACTTTAGGGTAACATCTTATTTCTTATGTGTGTTTATATGAGAAGAAAATTAGTATCTAAAACAAGTTTTCCTTAGAAACGTATGTAAGGGAAACACTTGTCTGGTTAGTCAGTTAGTCGGGGACTTTTTGTGGTAGTTCTTTTTGCTGATCTGTGGAATTTTTCTTACAGTACAATACAAGTATCATAAAAGGAGAACTGTTATAGCTTCCTATATTTCAAGATTTCCAATGCCAGCTGGACTATCTTTACTATGACCTTCCATAGATGCCAAGAAAGAAAAGTTAGGGTGGAGGACAGGAAGAATTTGTGTGTTTTGCAAAAATAATCCATAATAGGCTTATGGCAATTACTTTTTGAACTAAATTGAATTAAATTAAATTTTATTTGATAAAAATAGTCTTGTCTGATGTTTCCTGAAACTATAACAGGAAGTTTCTATTTCTATTTGTTTAGTTGAATGTTCGTTTAGTTGAATGTTTATTTATTTGATGAAAAGTAGCATAGAAATGTTGGGAGAAAAGCCACTATATAATTAGAGCTAGGAGACTCAATTCTAGATGCAGTTTAGTTACTAACTTGTGTGAGACTTTGGACACTTTAACTCTGATATTCTACAATTACATACAAAGCACAGAAAAGGAGGTAAAGGGGACATGGGAAACTATTTCAACCTCAATCAGACCTGCCCTTGGTTCCCTGGTTCTTTTGGCATCTGAATATTTTAAGGCTCAATGTATGTCCTTTTGGACTCACTTCTTGTGTCTCCTTTATTAACTAATCACATTATCACTCTACATCTTTCCCTTCTATACACACACACAACATGTTCATTTACACAAAACATTTAGGTTCATTTTTTAACAGAAAAATGTTAACTTCTAGTTTCCCCAGTTTAAAGGCCCAACCATCTGATTACCAAGCTAAGTACATTGAAATCAACTGTGGGTCATCTCTCTGCTCTAAATTTAATCAAAAGAAACTGAGTAAAAGAGAACTCTGATCAATGGTATAGAGAACTTGGATAGATTTGTTCGTGACATAGTTAGATACTATTAGAAATTCCTAAACCATCCAATACCTTGGTGATGACCACTTTCTGTTGAGATCGCCAAAACCGTACCAACCTCTCACAGAGATATAGGAACATGGGACCCACTATCCATTTCCAAGTCTGTAATTAGAGCAAAAAATGGGAAAAGGATGTGTTAAGGGGTGAACATTTTATTCACAGGGACAAAACATTTTAGAAGTCAACATAATCTTTGTAGGCTTGTTTAAATATTTGATATCAGATTGGTAAATTTCTTCTATCACAGAATGTATGAAAAATATCTAAAATTAAAATAAAGTTTTGAGCCAGTAGAAATGAACATTCTCTTTGCCCACATTAGGGAACTTTATCTACAGTATGAAACTTTCCCAAGAGGAACTGCCCTCAAGAATGGGATTTCCTCCTAGTGTTGCAACAGCAGTTGCAATAACCCCACAGCAGAGCAAGGTTGGTTTCAGAATTACCATTTCTATAAAGGATATCATTTCAGCAACACCATATTTTTAATGCAACACTGCAATTGCTTTCAATTGTTATGTAGTCAAAGTTTATTCTTTTGCAAGAAGAGAAATTTTATGTAAGAATGTAGCTGTTTCTCCAATATCCTGGTAAGTTCTAAGAGCTATGCAATGCATTTGCCGAATAGGGGCAAACCCAACGATTTTCAGATTTCTGCAGATTCACCTCTTGTCAGAATCCGTGGTGTTTCAGAACACTGGAGTTACCTTGTAGCATTGTTGGCTACATAAATACATTTAGGCAAAACAGCCAGTTAAGTTCCTAGTTTCATATCTGAAGTATCAAAGAATCTTAGAATGCAATATCATCTAAAAGATGACACTCTAGAATGGATTCCAAGAAGGAAAAAAAAGCATGAAGTACTACTCATAGTCTCACATATGATCTTTCTATTAACTTTTTTAAGAAACTTATTGGAACTTGAGAGCATCTAGGTTAATACCTGAAGTAGCAAAGAATTTTAGAAGATAATATCACTTAAATGTCTCCATCTCCAGCCAAAGTTGAAGAATATCTGCCCCCAGAGTCAGTAATGTTCTGCTAGTGGCCTTTGTTCTCATGGTACGGGTTTTTAAAATAGTGTGGAATCATTCATCTATTTCCTGGGTGCCACCATGGGGCCCCACTGAATGGAGCCAAGTCTTTGACATTGCCTCTGATATCCCCCTAAACCCAGAAGCTCCTTTGAGGTAGATGCCTGTTAAGGTAGTAGTACTCTGACTCCAGCCGTCTTCGAGGAAATGTGCTTTCTCCTTGACCATATGACAACCTGAAATATAGTTCCCTTTTTATCGTTTCTGTTGATATCTGCATGTAGTGGGGACAGGTCACTGACATGTCTGGTTTCTTTCATTAATGAACAAGGATGCTTAAAGATGTTAAGTCCTCAGATATCATGTTGTGTCTAGAGGAAGAGTACTTCTATGTTAGGAGAGTAGGAGGGGAAAAGGAGAAAATGGGATGGAAATTTTACCTTTGTATTATACACTGCTTAATGAAAATATACTAATTCTGTTCAGAAGCCCTGTACAAATATTGATTTTTGACTAGTTTTATACCAATGGCTAGCTTGATAACCAATAAAGTATCCTGCTTGCCAAGTGGGGAAAGTATATGGCTATCACAGGGTCCACTTCTCACTCTATGGAGCAGAGATGTTGTGAATACCCAAAATGGAGCTCTTTGAAGCTCTCAACTGAAGACGGTAAATATTGCAGCATGTTTTTTCCCTTGGTCACCCTTACCACACTCCTGCTCTACCACGTAGTGTCATTAGGTATTGATGTAAATCTGGCTGTCCAACCTCTTTTATGCCCCATAGACTGGACCTGCTGATGCCTAAAGGCAACCCTATGTGTCACCTCGCCAATTTTCTTCCCAGCTGTGAAAGCTGTATAGAAAGTCTTACTTCCTGATATTTGAAGAGACTCCTAGCTCCTTAAAGATGATCATCTGAGCTATCCAACTCAGCTTATGAAGGAATCCCTCTGAAAACCATTAACTGGTATTATTGTGGCCCTCATCCAGAAGAGAAGGGATGAAACTTCTTGAACCCAAACAGCATTTTCAAAAACAGTTCTTTTCCGAGTTTTACATCAAGATATTCATAAAAGACCAATGCAAAGCTTACTCTTTAAGAAATAATTCTAGACAATAAGTGTAGCAGGAAAAAGTACATACTTAAAACATTCTAGCAGTTCCATGAGATTTGTGATGGACAACTCTATGACATTTATATGTATTTCATAGACATAGTTTGAAGATTTTGTTAACGAAACTGTAATAGCAACAATGAATTGTACATACCATAGGAGGATTTCCATAGAACTGCGGGACTGGGCATTCCTTTATTTTTCCCCAATCTGAGATGTTTTGATAACAGTGTTTTGGTACGTGCTCCAGCAAACTCTCTGGGGTCTGCCCACGTACAATTCGCCTGGGAAAAAAATGTAAGTCCAGATCATTTAGTACCAAGAAATAAAGCAAAAAATTTTTTGAGATTCTGGTAATATTTTAAGTATTTAGGCATGAGTTCCATACTTTTTATTAAGAAGTTATACCTTATTGTTCCCTCCAAATAGATTAGAGAAAGGAAAAGAAAATGTGTGATCTTCAGCAATAGAAAAGAAATATGTACAGTGGCACAAAGAATATTTATATGTAATATTACAGAGGGTAAGTTTTGGATCGTCAATGCATGTTTTCTTAAAGGGAGCATTTGTTTTTCTGTTTCAAGAATTATTTTCATTTATAAACAAACATACAAAAACAGGAAAACTGCAAACCTAACAAAGCAACTGCTAGCCCATACAGTGTCTTTTTACAAATTAGCAGCAGAAACCATCAACAAGACGAAGAGGTAAACTTCTGAATAGGAGAAAATATTTGCAAATAACGCCTCTGATAAGGGGCTAAAATCCAAAATATACAAAGAACTCATACAACTCAACAACAACAAAAAACATAGTCCAATTAAAAAATGGGCAGAGGACCTGAACAGACACTTCTCCTAAGAAGACATAAGTGGCCAACAGACATATGAAAAGATGTTCAACTTTACTAGCTATTAGGGAAAATCAAATCAAAACCACAATGAGGTACTACTTCACACCTGGAAGAATGGCTGTTATCAACAAGACAAATAATAATAAGCGTTGGAGAGGTTGTGAGGAAAAAGGAACCCTCATACACTGCTGGTGGGAATGTAAATTTGTACAGAACTATGGAAACAATATCGAGGTTCCTTAAAAAACTAAGAATAGAATTACCATATGACTCAGCAATCCTTATTCTGGATATTTACCCCAAGAACTTGAAAACATTTATCTGCAAAGATATATGCACCCTGATGTTAATGGCAGCATTATTCACAGTGGCCAAACATGGAAACAATCAAAGTGTCCATCAATAAGTGATTAGATAAAGAAGATATGGTACATATATCCAATGGAATATTATTCAGCCACAAGAAAAGATAAAATACTGTCATTTACATGTTTTTTGGAAACATGGCGGAGTGAGAGATGTCTTCAGCTCTCTCCACTTGAAACT